AAGAGTTATTTTGTAAGTTATCTTAAATCAAACATATAAAATTCAAAAAATGTATTTATCCTTGTTTTATTTTCTAATTATCAACCATTAATAAAATATTAATTTAAAATCTTATCTAATTATATCATAATATTTTCATATCAAATTTAAAATCAGATATTAGTTATACAAAAATATCAAGATCATATAGTAAATTGTCAATAAGATTCTAGTTAAATAATTTAAAATAATTAATTTTTCAACTATATTGTTTGCAAATAATTTATTCCAAAGCTAATCAATTTTTCTATATTAATTATTAATAAAATTTAATAACTTTTAATTTATATTACCGACGGATTTGTATCTGTCAGAAATTATCCGTCGAAAATATAAATTTTTTTATGGATTTGTATCTATAAAAAATTATCGACGGATATATCTGTCGAAAATATAAATTTTCCTACGGATTTGTATCCTTTAGAAATTATCCATCGAAAATATAAATTTTTCGTCGAAAATATAATTTTTTCGAAGGATTTTTTTTTCGTCGGTAAAATATGTCAAAAATATAAATTTTCTGACGGATTTGTATCCGTCAATAATTTGCATTTTTCTTGTAGTGATAGATGTTAAAGTTATGGTATGCATGTAAGCATGAAGCAATTACATGCGAGCATGGGGTGTGAACTTTTTGGAATTCGCCACAGTCACACCATATCTTATCTAACCTTACTATAAATCTCCTTGATGGTCGAACTTCTCTAAGATATTGTGTCTCTTCTACTAAAAATCTTTTACTTATTCTATCAAAGGTAATCACTCTATGAGTGTTTGCCTTTGATTATGCATCTTGAATTGTTTTTGATGCAACTTCCGAGTAGACATGTCCAGCATTAATCATGGCATCTACCTCCCTGTCTCTCTTAACAAAGAATTTGTTGCAACAGGTGTATGTTGCCATGACCATGGAGCAAAATGGGAGGTTGTTTTCTTTAGGATCAAATTAATTGACTCTGTTAGGTTTGTTATCATGTGTCCCAGCGTCGTTCATTGTCCCATGTAAGCATCCATTTTTTCCTTGGGATGTTGTCCAACCATTGTGCTGCTTTTGGATTATTATCACTTATTATGTTGTAATAGTAAAAAAATTTGGGCTCAGTTATCCCATGTGCTAAAAAAAGTTTATAAATTAAATTAATATAACTAGCTAACCATGTGTAGAAAGTAATAATAACTAAAGAAAGTAATAAAATTACCCATATTGACGACATCTTTCTTCAGTGCAACGTTTTTGAATCGTCGCATAAAGTTTTGTGCAATATGTCTAATGTAATAAACATGGATAGAATTGTTTTTTTGTCCAACCACTTCCATTTCTGGAGTATGTACTTCTGATAGCCTTATGACAATCTTAAATGAGGCACAACCCTTCTTGTGGTGTTACATACCTCTGTAGGTTTCTTAAAAAAAAACCGTATCGTTGGTTTCAACTTTAACCACATCAAAGGCAATGGGAATTATGTTGGCGGCCGTCTTGTGCAACTACCACCAATAACGTCCCTTTGTACTTTCCATACAAAAATGTTCCATCCACTTGAACAATTGACTTGCAGTGAGCAAAATCATCAATGCACGGCTTGAACGTCCAAAATAGCCTCTTGAATAAAACGTTTCTCTCGTCCAACACGTCACCTTGGTATGCCGGTTGTTTACTCAACTTCCAAATGAAGTCGGGAAAATACAGTTGCATTGCTTGCAACAAACTAGGTAACTTGTGGTACGGCTCTTCCCAATTGCCAGTTGTTTCGCCAACCATCCCTTTTCTGTAGTTGATAGAATAACCCATTGTAGACTTTATGTGGGCTATGATGATTGAGATCGGTGTAGAGGGATCGACCTCAATAATTTGACGAATGGTTTGGAAAATCATTCGTGATCCCAACTTATTATGATCTTGTGAAATAAGTGGCAAACACATGTGTAGGCCCTTCCAACTTCATTATTTCCAATATTGCTCTCTGGTACGCAATATTGCTCGACATCGCCAATCACACTCGACATGAACACATTCCACGACAAGCCTATCTTGGCTTGACAACTTCACCTTGTACGTTCAGTGATTGACAATATGATATTTGTTGATGGTGTCTTGCACTTGTTCTTTTGTGATGAAGCGCTGGCCAATAAATAGTATTCCGGGTGGATAGACTATAGTTTCCCGATCTAGAACATGACTAAACTCCAAATCATGTTCATTTATGTGAGTTGGGAAGTCTAGAAAATGTTGAGATGGGTTGTATGGTAAGTATGGTTCGGATAATGGAATGTTTGCAAGTGGCTTGGCATCTTGTGCATCATCTTGCTCTTGTGGAAGGATTTTGTCTTCGTCCTCGCTAAAAGGATCAAAAACATCAGTTGGGAGACCTACAACTTCATGTTCTTCAATGTGGGGTTCTTGGATTGGCTGGGATTCTAGTTGACTGAGGTTCATGAATGGACCAGTTAAAAACTAGGTGTAGGACAACATAACATAATCGAAATTCATATCATTGGTTGGAATATGTGGGTTTATGGTTTCGTGGGTATGGTAAGGTGAAGGTGAAGGTGAAAGTTGTGGTGGTTGGGCTTCGTTAGATGATGATGTACAAGTATTGAAGGTAACATACATTTCTATACCTGATTGAAGTTCATTTGTATCGTGAATGTTGAAGATTGACTCAACATCTTCATCATTGTTCAACTCAACACATCTGTAATTGCTCACCCTCACCCCAAGTCTAATGGGTAGCGAAAATGTATGGTTGCCACTCGTTCATTTTCTTGTTGCCGAAGTTTTTTGTGGATTATTTTTTCAACCTTTGTAGAGTTTTTCCTCTCCTTAATTGAACTAATTTGGCTGATGGTAAGGTGAAGGTGACTCCTTCATTAGGACAATTGTTAATGGCACCATCAGAGTAAATAATGAAATATATTGAAGACATATTTTGAAAATAAGAAAGGTCGAAAGAGATTTTGAGAGTGAATGCAAGTGTTTCTGAGTGTGTTCAACTTAACAACGTTATGGCTATTTATAATGGTAAATGTTTGTTTGAAATTAAAGAAAATTTGAAATCCAAGTCTTGGATTCCTTTCTCTATAATTGTAAGGCCCACGCTCTATGTCTAAATGTGACATGTCAGTCACGCCTTCTAAGGTGCACGTTATGCAAGTAGGCATTGATTCCTTGTGGCGCCCACACTCTGCATCTGAATGTGACATGTTAGTCACACCTTTTGAGGTGCATGTTATGCGAGCAGGCATTGATTCCTTGTGGGACCCAGACTCTACGATTAAATGTAACTTCTCAATCATGCCTTCTAAGATGCACGTTATGCAAGCAGGCATTGATTCCTTATAGGGCCCACGCTCTGCGACTGAATGTGACCTCTCAGTCATGCCTTCTCTTCTCCCAAGCAAGCATTGGATTCCTTCTCATGTGAAAGTGTTTCTGTGAGTGTGGGCTCAGTCATCCCTTTTCATTCACACCTTCACCTACTATAAATAACCATGATCACTATCTTTCAAACTTGCATTCTCAGTTCCATCTTTCTTTGTTTCGTTTCAAACTTGCATTTTTAGTTGCATCCTTCTTTGTTTCGTTTCTCACTTATCACCAACCAAAAATTTTTTGTGGAAGCAAAATAAATACATGTTTGCCTTCATTGGTAGAACAATAAGTTTTACATAATGTCGTTATTTTACTTAAAATTTCAATCAATATCTACCCATAACGTGCCTAATTTGTTAAGTATTGTAGGAGACTAAAAATGTTTCCTCTTACTGTCATTCAATGCTAGAACCCCACCCTCTAATTGTTCCTATACTAGAGGAAGTTGGTTTTTCTGGGGTTGCAAACCTAAGGCATGTTAAGGTGGATCACGCATTGTAACAACTTTAGTTGAAAGGTGGAGACCTAAGACGCACACATTCCATTTTCCAACAAGGGAGTGAATTATAACCCTGAAGGATGTTGCCCTTCAACTCGAGCTAAGAGTTGATGGATTACCAGTCATTGACCCAACAATGTATGATTGGGAAGAAATGTGTTCCATATATCTCGGCATCGTGCCAGTCAAAAGAGAGTCACTAATTGGCTCTATGATCAAGCTAAAGTGGCTGAGAGACAATATGTTGGAATTACCAAAAGAACCATCTCAAGAAGAACTTCACACCCATTGTAGGGCATATATATTAGGTTTAATTATAGGTTTTTTGATGCTTGAAAAATAGGAAATAAGGTACATCTTATGTATTTGTCTTTATTAACTAATCTTAGAAGAGCAAGATGATATATTTTGGGGTCTACTTATTTAGCTATGTTATATAGGGAAATGTGTAGAGTCATATGTTATGAGCAAAAAATGGGTGGTTATGCATCATTGTTATAGTCTTAGGCATGGCATCGCATGCCATATATTGCGTCAATTTCCAGAGTACCACCAACATACCTTTTGGTCTAAAAATGGACCGAGAGTAGAGTACTCAACTTTTAAAATGTACCTCACAATGATGTTATGGGATACAAATCAATGTTTGATCACATTCAGATTGATCAAGTAAATCTTCATAACAAAGTTTTTAGTTGTTTCTTATTTTCTTTTTTTTTTTACATATTATCTTAAGTAACAAAGTTTAATTTATTTGTAGTTTTTATGGGCTCCATATCAAGGCTTGCAAACATCAATACCCATGCAAGCATATAGAGATGCCCAATTGTGGACTTCATGTACCCCCATCATTTGTTTTGCAATTATTGAATGACACCAATCAGATAGAGTGAAATTACAATTTGGTCTCTTCCAAGATGTTCCTTCTCCACCCAATAATTTGAATGACCTACACATAATTGACATGAGGGGAAGACAAGATGAAAATTGGGTTACAAGACATGCTCAATGGATCAACATATGGAACAATAGACATAAGCACACATTAATGGGTCATCCAATGCAAGGCCCGTTGTTTCACACACGAGAATACATAGAATGGTACTTGGCCAATTCCATCTATTTCCTATCTGGACCACAACTACTACAAGATCCATGGACCTACCAACAGCGAAGGACTATCACCACATTTGAAATCAGTGCGACTTCCATGCCGGTATATGAAGAGACTAACCAGTATGTTTCAAACCCTCCACACAACATGACGCCACAAGAAAACATAATTGACAAAAGACATTCGTTTGTAACAACTTCAGAGGATTTCTTTACAAACTTATTTGGAGTAGATTTTACAACTCCATCTTTAGCACAATCATTCATGCAATCTCTTTACCAATCCAACTTTGCTAATGAACTTGGTAGTTCCTCAACTGTATTCCAACAACCAGTCTTTAATGATGATCCAAATCCTGCAGAGTATCAACCACCACGACGCAACCTAGAATGTAACAAACGTCGCTCTCGTTGTGGAACTGATGGAAGCGCTCCTAGCATTGATGGAAGAAGGATGATCAATGAGAGGACTCCTAGACTCCACGGATCTTAGTTCTTCAAAGGCCTAGCCTTGGATGGTGGTGGCGACCGAATATGGAGGAAGGATAGATGGTGTTTGATGGAATGCTTGAGAGGTACTCTAGGGTTTGGCTCACTCCATGAGTGATGAAGGCCACTTCTAGGATTTTTACTCAAGGTGGAGATAGGTAGGATTATTGGCCGAAAATGACCAAGAGAGACTAAGGAAAATATAAAGTCACAAAAAGGTTCACTCTATATTGATTTCCAAAGTATTTACAAGGAGGCTAGCCTAGGGTATTTATAGAAGGGAGAATGCATTTAGGGTTACATTTGAGAGTGAATGGCCAAGTAATGCAATCCAAATGCACTTCAAATGAAACCTAAATTAACCCTAGATGCTACTTGGTGGCCAAGGATGGAATCTTTGGGTTTGGTTAAGCTACATCTAGGTGCATGATAAGACCATGGAACCTAGGTGCCCTCCACTTGGGCCTAAGTCTTGCCAAGTCCAAAAATAAATCCAATGCCACCAAAAAACATGTCTAGGCCTAGTTTCCAACCTTAATAAAATACCCTAGCTATAAAATAAAATCCTATAATCTAAGACACCCCATAATACAAGGGTAAAATGGGAAATACAAGTAAAAAATAAATCTTATGACTAAGATACCCTAAAATACAAGGGTAAAATAGGAAATACAAGAAAAATAAATCTTATGTCTAAGGTACCCAAAATACAAGGGTAAAATATGAAATTAAAGACAAGGGCAAAAATAGGAATAAATCCTATACTAATAAAAACTTAGGAGCTAAGGCCCAAAAGTAGTCCCACTCTTCTTACGGTTTTCAAAACTAACACATTCCTCTTGCCTCCTTCAATATATCACCTCTTGGTCTTCTTGGTTTTAGTGTGATTCCATCAGGAACTGAACACCATTACGGAGATTAAAACCTTATGTAATTCACTTTGTCTTAATGTAATATTGTTATGATTTTTTATTTTTAATGCACTTGGTCTTCATCAATGTAATATTTAAGTTATTTTATTTAAATAACAATTAAGTTATTTTATTTAAATAATAATTAACTTATTTTATTTAAACAATAATTAACTTATTTAATTTAAATAATAATTAACTTATTAATATTAAAAATTATTATCACCCATTTAAATAAATATCTTAAGATAATATTATTTATTATCGTAATAATAATATATTTATTTTAAAATTTTAAAAACTTTAATTTGTTAGTTTAAAAAAGTTCAATTTTTAAAACATAAAAAAATAAAAAAAATAAAAACCCCTACTCGGAATTTGGCTCCTCGAGGATCGAATTCCGACAG